TTTAAAGCTTACTCGAAATTGACAAAATGCCTATCAGAAAGTTTGCACAAATCACAACCTCTATGTATTTCTTACTACACCTTTAATAATATGGGGTTTTGTATTTAATTTTAAAAGTGTCTCTTTTTTACAGGCAAAAACCCCAAACAGAACAAAACTAAAAACCATGGCATCTGGATTACTGGGGGGGAATAACATTTTTTCAAGTGTACTTCATTTGAACACTGTTCAAGTTCTTTGTTCATGCTTTTGCTATCAACATTGTTTCATTGATTGTGAGAATACCTTATACATTGTATTAATAAATAGTAACCCTGTGATACTACAGAAGCTTTTCTCAGTTTGGGTTTCCCTTTTGAATATTTTCTTTGATATACAGACACTGGACACGTTTTCTTATATGTAAATGTATTAATCTTTTACTTTATGATTTCTTTCCTTATATCTTTATCCCACTGATACAAACTAACAGCGACCTTCATTTCTTGGATGATTTCTATTTCTTACACTTACTGATTTTGTTCAATTGAAGAAAAACATCTCAGCTCTGAGAATAACTATCTTGTACATTGCTGTATGGTTCCAGCTTTAATATTTACAGGATGCACTTTACCCACTCTTTTGTATATATTCAAAACCACTGTATGCATGCATACATACCTATGCATATAAATTTCTGGGTTATTTCTTCTATTCATTGATCTAGCCATGAACAGAAATTGTAGTTTTGTTATCTAAAGGGGGCTGTGAGGGTCCAGATATTTCCAGTCACTATTCAGTAAAGTTTTATCAGTGTATCCTTCTTCCTCCTCATCTCTTTCTTTCTTCTCACAACCCTCAACCTTCAGCAATGTACAAAATAGTGATTCTCAGGGCTGAGATGTTTTCTTTAGAGTCTTCAAAAGACTGCAGGCTTGGACCCTCCCTGGTGGCGCAGCGGGCTAAAGCACAGCACTAAGAAGCTTAAGCCACTTCCGCATGAGTTGATTCCCGCCTGCCCTGGAGGAGATCCACATGGCGAGGCAGACCTCTCCTGACCCGCCCGCTGCTCCCCTCAGCAGTGTACTTCATTAATCTGCCTGTTCTGCTCCCCACTCTGTCTCTGGTGAATCCTCTCACCCTCCGCATCTCTGGCCTGTACCCCAGTTCTGTATGAATAAATAAATAAATCTTTAAAAAAAAAAAAAAAAGACTGCAGGCTCATATCCTGGCTGGATCACTGGCAGCTGTTTAACCCTGAGCAAACCTCAGGCTCCTCTTTAGCTAAGTGAAAACAACCCTGGAGACACAGATGAATTGGTTTTTGCAAATTCCTACTGAAAACACACCCAAAGACTTTACATTTTTAATAAACAGTAACATGCCTTAAAAACCCCTTCCTGTGTCATTTTGAGGGTTGGGCATGGAAATACATCTCTCAGTATGTTCTGAAGCCTGGGTGCTGCCTATGACTTTACATTGCTCTAAATAAGAGAATCGCTTCCATTTGCCTCAGACTCAGCGGCTCTGACTTAATGGCAGATTGGCTCCAGAGCGGCCAGCCCGCTCCACCCTGGAAGAAGCTGCTCTATCAGTGTGGCAGTCCTTGAATTTGTTAGGATATTATTTCCTGACTAATTAGAGCTGCGAAAGGGGGGATGGACACAGAGAACTCAGGAGGAAAACAGAACATTCAAAATGGTCAGCTACATGAATATCGCAGGGATTCCAATTATTTTGGTTTTTCTTGATGATCAGATCGAGTTGGAGCAGAAGATAAAAAAAACCACATCAGTGATTTGAGCTGAGAGAATTTATGATGACGAATTGCTACCTAGCTTTAAAGTGATTAACTAGGTAATTGAAAGGCTCAAGAGAGCAACTGCAGGAAGCAGCTACTATTCCTAGGGCCAAAGGGACCAGGGGGAGAAGGTGCAGTTATTGGAATACAGGCAATAAGGAGCCTTCAGGCACAAAAAGGAAAGTGGCGTTAATCCACGCCACAACTTGGGTGAAAATGTGATGGACCTGAGAGAAGCTGTTCCATTGTTGCCCTAGGGTAAGGTTTTGCTCCTGAGAACCCAGAGTAGGGAAATCTGCAGAGACAGAGCTAGATGGTTGCCAGGAGCTGCGAGGTTGGGAGGGACCAGAGTCAGGGGGGGGGGGTTGAGGGAGGGGAGAGGTAAGGAGTATGGGGTTTATTTTTTCTAATTGTGGTAAAGTATACATAACACAAATCTACCATTTTTAAGTGTACATTTTATTTTTTTTAAGAATGATTTATGCATACAGTACTGGGGTACAGGCCAGAGATGCAGAGGCGGTGAGAGGATTCACCAGAGTGGGGAGCAGAACAGGCCGACTGACAAAGTACACTGCTGAGGGGAGCAGCAGGCAGGACAGAAGAGGTCTTCTGTGCCATGTGGGTCAGCCCTGGGCAAGCAGGATCAAGCAAGCTTCGCAGTGCTGTGCTTTAACCACTATCAGGGAGGGTCAAGTGTACGGGTTAAAAGACAATAAGCACATTTGCACTCGTGTGCAACCCTCAGGATCATCTCAGAACTTTCTCCCCAAACTGAAACTGTACCTGTTAAGCAATAACTCCTCATCCTCCTTCTCCCCAGCCTCTGGCAACCAACTTAAAAGATTCTGTCTTGAGACAGAGCCAGAGCGACCTGGACACACTATGCTGTTGGTTTGAAGCTGGATGAAGGGCCCAGCGGCAAGGGCTGCAGTGGACTTCTAGAGGCTGGAAATGCCAAGACAATGGATTCTCCAGAAGGGAGTCAGTCCCGCTGAGGCCTTTGATTTTTCGGACTTCTTCACTTTCAGAAATAAGAAAATAAAGGTGTGTTGTTCTAATTTAAAAAAATTTCTGTTTCTATGAATTGGACTAGGCAAAGTAGTGCGTATATATGACATTACCCAGTACTTGTCCTTCTGCGTCGGGCTCATTTTGCTTTGCATAATACCCTGAGTTTCCTGCTTACTGAGCATAGGTCTGCAGTCCCTTTGCTAAAAGCTGAGTAACATTCCAGAGTCTGTAGATGCCACACCCACTCATCTTCTGGTGCACACCTTAGTTGCTCTTGGTGATTGTGAGTAACGCTGCTGTGAACTATGATGTATATCTCTGTTCAAATCCCTGCTTTCAGTTCTTTTGTATAAATCCCAGAAGTGGCATTTCTGGATCACATGGTAATTCTATTTTTTTTTTTTGAGACATCACCCTACCGTTTTCCATGGTCTGCCTCCTTTTCCATTCCCATGAGCAGTGCACTAGGATCCTATGTCCTCAAAACACTTATTTTCTTTTCAGAGTTTCCTTTCGAGGTGATGAAAGTGTTCTAAAATTGACTGTGGTGAAGTTTGCACATATCTGTGAATGTGCTTACAACTATCATATTGTACAATTTAAAGGAGTGAATTGTGTGATTTATATATTATGCCAGTATGGCTGTTTAAAAAAAGATAAGAGGTGGGGTCTCATGGATCCGGACCCCAGAGCTCTGAGGGGCTGCTGGCTCCCCAAGGTGCCATGAAGCTGGCTGTGAGGTGCTGGGCAGATCTGCCCAATTAGATTCAGCAGCTGCAAGCCCAACATGCAGAAGTAAGGCTGGGTGACAGGTACAGGGCCGGGGATGGGCAAGAAGGACCATGTCCCTGCTTCCTGCAGCCCCACAGACACGGAGCCAGGGGAGTCACATCTCACAGAACACCAGGGAGCAGCCTTAAAGCAGAAAGGTGGTTTGCAGAGTCCAGCGCCACATCCCAAAGCCAGCTGCCGAAGGGCAGGGACAGGGAGCTGAGAGGAAAGCGCTTAATGACTTGCTGTCTTAATCAGTGCGGGCTGCAACCACAAACACCATAAAGTGGGTGTTTTATCAATAGCAGACATTTAATTCTCAGTTCTGGAGGCTGAAATCTTGAGATCCTGGTGCCAGGTGATCAGTTATAACCATATGCATACACACTCACACACAGACACACACGTTCTCTCTATCTCCTGTGGGATCAGTCAGGTCTGGGTTCCCAGGCACTTAGACAAGCCTGGTAGAGGAGAAAGGGGATGTGGGGCCGATCCCAGGGCATGCAGAAGGCCCATCTGGAGCCAGGTGAGGAGCCTGCTTGTGAGGGGCTCCTGAGGTTTGAGCCCGTGTGCTAAAAAGCCGTTTGCAGGGTTGCTGCTAAGGGGCCGCTCCATGCTTCTGGGGGGCCGCGGTGGGGTGGTGGGGGAGGCTTTGCTGAGGACGGTATTCTCTCTGCAGGGAAGGCTGGGGCGCGTGCATCGGGAGGAAGTCACCAGCAGGGGGCAGCCGACCGCCCTTCTCGCAGGCTTCAGAGGGGCCTCTAGCGGGAAGTCCAGACAGGGTCAAGACAGGTGAGAAAGTCAGAGTGAAAAACCCAGGAGAAATGGCAGAGTACACAGTGGACTTTGGGAGTTTATAAGCAAAGCTTTAGGCCCTGCACCACACCTGCCTTTGGAGGCTGCTAATGTAGAATGAAGAGAGACGTGCAGACTTAGAATTGCTTCATTAAGAAAAAGACCCAAGCGTTCATTAAATAAATGAAAATGTAAATAACTTAACTAGAGGAAAACCACTGCTTCAATACAATGTCCCTAGTGGGGTACCTATGAACTCACCTGATCCTCGAAATAAGCCTTACTTAGGTATCATTACTCCTGTTTCAAAGACGAGGCACACAGAGTTTAAGTAATTTGTCCAGTGCCACACAGCTAATGGGTGGTGGGGCCTGGAATCAAACTGAAGCATTTGACCACAGAATCTATGCTCTCAACCAATGCAAGGAAAAGAAAGCTTCTTTCAGCCTTACCTGCAATCACAGCCATCTTTAGGCTGACTGTTACCGTAGCAGCTACGAGCTGTGCGTGGATATTTAAATTCAAGTAAAACTAAGTACCCAGTTCCAGGTCACACCTGCTACTATGAAAGGCTCCCCAGTGTTTTAGGTAACACTGGAAAACATTAGCCAGACATAAGACTCAAACACAACAGGTGTCATATGGATATATTTTTAATTAAATACCACTTCATAATGTTCTTTGCACCTAGCACACACAGTTTTTGAAAAATAAGACATGCCATACCAGTCACGACGTTAACAAAACATAAGCTTCCACATACAGTATGTTCTAAGGTGGCTTCATTTAAAACACAGTGAATTTATTTATTTTGCCTTAGCCAGTTTTGGACAAATGGGGCGTTCACAAAGTGTGGGTGGAGGTCCCCCAGCCTAGCCCGATGGGCACCTTGCCTCACATAGCACCACCAAGCTGGCTGGCTTCCACCAGGACAGCAACAGAGATGCCAGCCCCCTTCCCTAACCTTTTCCTACCCAGCTCTAGGTGGCGAAACAACAGGGGGAGGACACTCAGAGACCTCTGACCTGCAGCTTCACAGGAGGGACTGGAGACTGCAGCAGGGCTGAGCTTGCACCAAATCCACAGGAGCAGTCTGCAAAAAACTGTTTCTGATGTCTCATTATGGGACTCAGCACCCCCATCAGAAGAGGTGGGCAGAGTGGGTGGGAAGAGCTCAGAGAGGAACTGAAGAGTTCAAACTCACATTTGGTCATCTTGACTCAGGTACTGGCTGCTAGGAAGGAATGGATATGTGATATTTAATGTGGCTTGGAGAGCCCAAGAGCCTCGGGTAGCAATAAGCAGGTTGTGTAGAAAGCTGATGTCTTCTCCCCTGTCCTAAAGGTAAGTGCTGCTTTTCTGTCACCAGCAAACCACTTGGGGCAAAGACTGGAGAGGTAGCCCCAGACAGTCAGAATTCTGGCGGTCAAGGCTGCTCTTCCCAAGGATGCAGGCGCCTCACTCCTGGCCCTCACTCGAGATCACACGCAACTTTCTGCTCAGCCTCCTGCACTCATGTTTTGCAGGATGCCACTGCCCTAAACCTTAAGGAGACGCTGCCCAGGCCTCAGCAGTGGCTTTGGGGTTGGCACTGAATCCCTGATCTTCAGTGGCCCTGAAATTGCAATGTGCCCAACCCTTCTCACTTTACCAGTCTGCTGCTAAACTTCTGTCACAAAACAAAACCAAGAAGGGGGCAGAGAAGATCAGAAGCGCACAAAATGCCCAACGGTCACCTGGGTTTGACCCAGTTTCATGGCCTCCCCACTCGTGGTTCTTTATCCCTCGGCCCTCACTCTCCATCCCTCCCCACCCACCTTAGAAAAATCACTTGCAAAATCTGAATAGCAGCAAAACCAACGTTTAGTGCTCCTTTCGTTACTGTCCTTGCAGGCTTGCAACCTGACCTGGAAAGGTGACTTGGGCATCCCTGCAGGCCTCTTCCATCCTGTAGAGCTCCTTTCCAGCAGTGTGGCGACTGCATTCTCTTCCTCGTGAACCATCAGGGCTCCCATGCTCTCTAGGATGCACCTGAAACCCCTTGGCCTGGCATCCTAGGCCCCATTAACCCAGCTTGTCTTTGCAGGCTCATTTCCTCCATCCCCTTCCCTGGCTCGCCCTTTGCCGTCTCCCCGCCCCCGCCCCATCTCTGTGCTGTCCCTCTCCCCGCCTGCTCCTTCTAATGCTTTGTTCAACTCTTAGCTGATTTGCTGCCCATCAATGAAAGGGGCCGGAATCATGTCCAGTTCTGAACACCCTGTTCCAGGCCCTGTGCCCAACCCTCAGCGGGGCTCCACGGCGGCTCTGCTCTGTGGTCTGTGACTGCCCGTGGCACTTCTCAGGCCAACCCTGCAGTTTCCTGTTTCCCCTTGTGATAGGAGGGCAGGAACCGTGTTTTATTCCCTGTACCCTGTGCCATGTGCTTAACCAACAGTAACCGCCTTGCCAACAATGCTGAATCGAGTCGATGACTACCCTCTAGGGGTAAATGTCATGGTCTGTTGCCTCCCCGGGCCTGTGAGACCAGCACAGAAGTGGTTATCACAGGCAACAGACGTCAGTTTTGGAAGTCAAGGTACGAGATCAATATTAAGCACGATCCGTAAAGGTTAATGATCTAGCAACACTGGTTTATTAACACTGTTATCTTGCCTATTAGTTAAAAGCTGCCTAGGGAAGCCGTAAGTATAGTTCTAAGTAGTAATCACAGGATGGAGAAATGCCACAGATCCTAAGAGGATTATTCAACCTGCCAAATGAACCCTAGAGAGGAAACAGGAAGGTAATTCCAACTTCCTCGCAGTGATGCGTCGGGCCCTGGGGGTTTTAACAGATCATCTCTTTTTATTATTAGGCATTCAAGGTGTGTGATTACTGCATCACCTGGATCAGAGTCATCTGTGCACCAGTAAGCTTGCAGACTCCGGGGCCCCACCCCAACCCCACATCTGTGGTTGGGGGTGTAGGACTTTGCATTTATTAACAATCTCCTCGGCCTTATTCACAGTCAAGTTTGCAGACTTATCTGCTATTCTCAAAGTATCCTGTGTGTACCAAGGCAGACAAGTGCGCACAGGGCCAGAGAGCGGGCTGCAGCCCCGCTTCCGAGGCCGGCCTGCGCACGTGCCTGCACATGCGCACGAGGACAGGGTGGCTGGACCCAGAGGGCATTGACCAATCTTGAGTCTGACTCTATAAAGGAAACAGGTGAGAGACGAACACCCGCGATCTTCCCAGGAAGCACTGGTGGGCTGGAAAATAACAGCCACTTTTCTATTTATCCTTTTATAAGTAAAGCAATCACATTTTGCCATTTCTAAGAAGAGAGGGGTTTTTCCTCTTAATGGGCTTATGCATCACCACCCCTGCTGCTGACCTATCCCACCTTACCCTTTCTGTCCCCTCCAACTCATAACCCTTTGTGTTCCTTTGTGGGAGGCCGGGGGAAGCAAGCAATTAGTTCACAGAACCAAAAACGTCAGTTTTCATCTGTCCAATACAAAGGCATTGAGTACTTGTCACTGGAAGCGCACAGACAGTGGGGAGGCCTTTCCTGCAGGCAGAATATTCCGCACGGCCTCCGACCCTGCCACATGAAGACGACATGGAAGTTACTGCAAATACAGGTCATGAGTGAGACGGACAGAGATCAGGCCAGCCAGGGAGGTGGAGGAAGATTAGAGCCAGGGTCTCTAGCCTTTCACTGGATTTGCAAAGTAAGAGCAGAATCTCTGCCTGGCTTAATGTTGAAGAGTGTGGCTGACACTCTTTGGCCACTGACCCGGGAAGCTCAGTCACCATCCTCCAGGATGATAAAGGCTTTCCAAACCTGGCTGGTCTGTGCCAGGCAGCAGCTGAGATCTCTATTGTTCACCTGGAATACTGCATTCACCCCCCCACCCCCACCCTCATCAGTGAAATTTCCACGACCAAGACAAGGCATCCTTTGCCAGAGACAAAAGCTTTCCAAATCTCTGTCCCTAGAGTTCTCGGTTAAAAAAAATAAGACTTGAAAGGCAAGTTTTAGAGTTAAGGTTGAAACACTCTCCACACAGCATGAGCAGTTAGAAATGGAGGGGAGGAGAGGCTCCGTCAGGGGGCTCACTCCTTCTTGGTGTGCTCCAGCACTCGGTAGGGAACCCCGGGGGTGCCTCGGGAGCTGTGCTCTTCTTGCATGACAGGCAGTGTGGCAGGAGCGTAGATCTCAGAGACGCTGTCGTGGTTTTCTAGGGCCCCGTAGGAAAAAGAAGCTTTGAGGTCAGGCTGGACCGTGATCCCCCTGTCATGCATGTTCTGCATACCTGCAATGAAACCCATTTCCCCAAATCATTATGGGGCCAGGGGGCCACAGAAGGCTGCGACTTCCTCTAGCCCACCCCAAACTAATTATAGTGCTTGGAAGCTAGTCATGTGCATTGTCAATTTCCTGAATGCTTTCCACTGAAAAAAGATCAGCCATAAATATACACGAGAAATATGACAGTTGCTAAGCAACGGGATTGAATCTTCAGGAAATATGCACACAGACCAGCCCCTGTGCAGACAAGCCTGGGTGGGCCTAGAATCAGGTGGGATGTGGAGGAGACCAGCACTGCACTTCGAACGTGGTAGATGCCACCCCTTTTCTGCTGCTTTACATTGCGATCTGGAAACTTCACATACTACGTAGGGAGAGGATCCTTCCGTGTCATGGGCTCGGGATGGTGACAATCAATGCACCATGATGCTCAGAGGGAGAGTGTTGACCTTTAACATAACATCCCTGATCTGCCAGAAATAGGTGTGTGATTTTACTTATTACTTCTGGGCTCATCGGCGCCGGCTTTCTACTGACAGTGGAGAGCAACGACTTTCATTGTTAATTGCTTGCATCTGACTCATAACTCCCTAGTCAGGTGGGACCTGGTGTCCTCAGAGTCAACTCTTTCTAGGGTGGGAATTAAGCCCGTTCAAACTCTCTTGCCTCTAAGCGGAGTCCTAAGAAACTGAATGTAAAGCATCTACTATGACACCATGAAAACAAGAGTTGTGTGTGTATCAGGCTAATGCTTTAAATCCTAACAGAAACAGCAACGGAAATAATGAAATAGCCAATGTGAACTGTTCAGTCGACGGCAGCAGACACTGCTCTAGAGTTCTACGTTATATTGCTTTATCTCAGTGGATCCTCACAATTACTGATACAGAAAGTGAGACGGCTGCAGGTTAAGTAACTTGTTTGGGGTCACAAAGCTGTAAGTCCCAACTCAGTGGGTGAAAACTCTGAAACCCCCACTCTTAACAGGAATGCTGTGTGGCCTCCCTCTGCTCCTGCACCTAACCTCCTAAAGTCCTAAATAACTATGCTATTCTGCTCATTTTCTGGGTAAGAAAACAGAGATTCAGAAAGGTGAAGTGATTTGCCCAAGGCCACACAGCTAAGTCAGACAGAGCTAGGACCTGACACCAGTTTGTGCTCTGATCCATTCTGCAAATAGCCCAGGAAGACCCAGTCTGTGGAAGGCCCAGTCTGTGGAAGGCTCTTTACCTTCGCCTTACCTAAGCCTTAGCTGAGGGTCATTTGAAGGGTATAGTTTCAAGTCCATGGTTTGGATTTTGGGGGGCTCTTGGAAAGACCTGAGGGGTGCCTGTCCTCGAGGAAGAGAGTTGGCTTGCCAGACCAGCACTGTGGGTGACTTTGGAGCAGGGCTGTTTCTGTAATGATCACCTTTTGTAAGATGACAAGGGTTTAGCTTTTAGACTTTGCCCATGCTATTCTGCAAAGGGCCACCAGCAACACACTGACAGTCTCACTGGCTTGGGTTTACTGACTCCTTAGAATGAGGCAGATGTGCACCATGGGGCGCTGTGGGTGCTCAGTCAGCGGGTGTCAGGAATGAGAAGATTTGAGTCTGTATTCGGTGACATCAGGGAGGGTGTAAAGCAGGGCCTGGCCTTGGACTAGATGCTGGTAGGAAGTGGGGGTCATTCTGTAATTGGGGATCTTACTAACTCCATCTAGAAAGGCTAGATGGAAGCGGAATCTGCGACTGGTAGAGACAGCAGCCACTCGTGTCATCAGAGAAGGGCAGGTGGCCGTGCCCGAGGTGGGGCCCGTGGGGCCCTGTCCGGCCACTGCACGGACCTGCGTGTGTCTTGATCATCAGGGCCAGGGAGGGCTGCTGTCTGACACTGATGTTCTGTGCAGTGGTTTGTGCCAAGACCCAGCCTGAGTGCCAGCCAGCTGCCAGCCCCCAGAGGTGCTTTTCTCTCTCATTTTTGAACAGTCTTTAGGCGCTGGAATTCCTGCAAGCCTCTCCCAACTGAGGCAGCTCCCTGCCCACCTGAGTCTAGGCAAGTGTCTCTTTTTCCCTTTCTTTCAATAAGCCTGTCCTTTCAAGATGCAAAGAACTTTAAAGACTAAATAAGAGAAATTTAAAGTACTATATATACACACTATTATTTAAAGATCTGAAAAGTGATTACATTTTTGAAGACCAAACATTTCTCAGTCACCTTTGTCAGTACTTAATAGACTACGCTGCATGTGAGAAGTAGAATAAAAATCCTGTCTAAACTTAAACCTTAAGTGTTAACTTTTTGTTTCGTGCTCCAAAAATTGAAGGTTCTGATGCTGATGGGTGATCACATAGCTAGAAAAGCAACTGTTGAACAGTTTTATCAACTGTTACATAGTTTTATTTTTCATGTGCTACGTGCCATCAGGTAAGAGAAGCTGTTGGAAGTTTCCAAGTTTTGAAAGGCGAAAGTGAAACCAAATTGAGCCAGGTTATCTACCACGTACCAGATACTGTGCCAGGGGACTTGACTATATTATCCCATCACCCTGAAAGAAGAAGGAATTTACAAGGGAGAGTTAGAGGTCCAGGCACGTGGCCTAGGTCACATGTGGGCATGCGACAGAGCTGGGATTTGAGTCCAGGTCACCTAACTCCAAGCCCACATTCTTCACAGCACAGAACACACGTCTACTCAGAAGTGTCCTGTGCCCCAGCCGCTGGGCAAGGTCTCCTTCCTTCAACATCTGACATCCCACCAGACCCCAGGGCACAGAGGAAGCCGTGGTCACATCCACAAACATCACAGAATGTTGATGAATGAGGTTACCTTAGGTTACTTCTATTGTCCACCAGGAAACACACCTGTATATATGCATATACAAATCTTCATAGAGATATATACACATACACAGTTTTAGAAACACACAAACACACAAGTACATACACATACTTGCACACACAGAGTTGACACCTCACCTATCTGGGATTCAGCTATCCAGCGCCCTCATCTATCCGGAACACAGCCGAGAAACAAGGAAGTAAGCAAAAAAGGCATCTCAGCAGCCAGATTAGATGTTTAAAAGGTCCATGCACTAAAGCTCATGCACTGAACTCCTAGAGAGAACCCTCAAGTCCCCAACTTTATTTATTTTAACTTTATATACAGTTTGCACAAGTTGGGTTAAGTAACTGACACAGAGCTGCTATAGGCAGGCAGGCTGGTAACAGCAAGAATGGCAGACAACAGCTGAATAAGCAAGAGATGAGGAAATAATATAAAAGGAGACATGTAAACCCTGGGGCCATTTAGAGTAGGGGCGCTTCAGTCAGCTGGGAACACATCTGTATCACAGAGTACTTGATAAAAGTTATATTCAGTGTTATCGAGGTGATTATATTTGGTTCATGAGACTTTCTTAACGAAGGGTGGGAGGTTATGTTTTGAGAGCGTTCCATCAAATATAATGACGTAAAGTGGTCACCAGAAACCTAGAGAATTTAAATCAGCAAACCGGGGTACGGCTGGCCCCAGACCTTAACGTTTCTCATCTGGATCCCCTGGGTTATACGTGCACTCACCAACTCCTCACAAGACCCATCAGCGGATGCACTTTTTTATTATTATTGTGAAGGCTTAAAGGTATCTGATCTTGAACTTCTCAGTGTGAATCCTCAACTCTCTGGAAAAGTAGGATTTCCAGAACGATCTCCTTGTGCAATCTAAGGAAGGTGATTATAGATTTGAATTTCTTTCTTTGTATTTTCCTTGCCCTGGCTGATCATTCTTTTCCAACTAGAGGGGTGGATTTTTCCTTTTGCAGGCATGAAGCCAGGTGTTGCGGATCATAATTACATCCAGTGTGAATAAGGACTGTCTGAAAGTTCCCGAAATAGACATTGGAGCCAGCAAGATGTGCTCAAAACCAAGCGAGATGCCTCAGCCACTGCCTCCTCTTTTGCACACCGAGATTAAAAAAAGAAAAGAAACAGACAGTCACACCATGACGGCACAGCACGTCCTCCCAGTACCAGACCCGGTGGCTGCTGTCTCTCAAAGGGGCGTGGCTGTCATTCTATAGGGATGGGCCAGCCTGCTGGAAACACGGGTTTTGACGTTACCTGGCATGGCATCCATGGAAATATAGGGCTCAAATGGAATGGCCTTCTTCCTGTTACGGGTGATTAAGAAGACGCCCAAGAACGCGATGAGGCACCTGAGGAATGGAGATAAGGGAGGAAGAGCAGTCAGGCCAGAGAGCGGCTGAGAGGGACACTCAACCCCAGCTAATGAGAAAAGGGTAAAAAGAGAGGGGAGCGGGCGGCCGGACCTGCGGTCGGCAGAAGCTAGAGGATGACAGCCCTGCAGCTCACACAGCTGCTCTACACAAGCCTTAATCAGAATCCATTCAACTCTCCTGGGCAAAACTTGGATGGGGCTTTATTCCCACTTCGTCTGTATCTCAGAACTGTTTCTTAATTTTTTTTAATTAAAACAATCTTTATGGCCTAACTTTAATCAGTGCAGAAACAGAGAAAGTGAAAATGAGAAAGGCACCTTGCTCTCCCAGCTGCACGGCCCTAGTCTTTCCCCCAGACCTTCAACAGCAAGCAGCTTCCTGCGCACTCGCCTCCACGGGCAGCAAGCGCTCGCGCCCTAACACAGAGCTCGCTGGACTTCACCCAGGCACGCTCGTGCGATCACCACCCAGGCTGGTGGGGGGGACACTTCCATCCCCTTCCCCTGCATCGACAGTTCGTTATTTTTAATTGCATGTAGAATCCACTGTCTGAATATATTACAATTTTTAAAATATTTATGTTAGTGATTTATTTATGCATACAAGACCTGGGGTGCAGGCCAGAGGTGTGGAGAGTGACAGGGTTCTCCAGAGACAGAGCAGGGAGCAGAACAGGCAGATCTACTGAGATACACTGCTGAGGGGAGCAGCTGTGAGACAGGAGAGGTCTCTGTGCCATGTGGGTCAGCTCCCTGGGCCAGGATCCAATTTGTGCTGCAGTGGCCACTGAGACCTTGACAGTGCTGAGACTTAACCTCCTGCACCATGGTCGGGGGGCGGTGGGGAGGGGAGGAAGGACTGGTCTGAATGTGTTAAAATTTATTTTTATTCTTCACTCTCTTACAATACAGACATTTGGGCCTTTTATGAACATCCCTATATCAAATCCAAGCCATTGTGTCAATACATGCACTCTTTTGGATATTTACTCAGATGGGTCACAGAATTACTGGGTCATAGAGCAGTCACAGATAAAAAAGTGTTAACTTTTCCATGGAGTGTGTCCCCCTGGGGCTGTGCCAGCACCTTCAACCGGCCTGAGTTTTTCCAGGCGGCAGCGAGGTACTTTATGACAAGACAGTCCCTAAGTTACTTCACCTGTGTTCTACCAGTAGGCATTCAGGTGGCTTCCACTCGCCAGCTTACTCCATTATTAAAATTAAACCCAGTCGCATACATGTGTCGCCGTGAACCATTTCGGTTATTTTCCCTCAAGATAAGCGGCTGGAAATGGAACGCTGTATCCGAAAGGGCTCACTCAAGCTCTTCACAGGCCTGGCGCAATCGTCCTCCCCATGAAACCACCTCTCTAGAGTGGCCGAGCCCCTTCTCCGCATCCTCTTGTCACCGTGGAATACTTACTGTCCCTCCTGTTATTATTCTGTCAAATGCTGGTGTCTCTGCATTTATTTTTTTAAATCTGAGTGAGGCTGAGAGACCTTTCATGTGTCAAAATGTGACTTTAGAAACACAAGATCACAGACCGAGAGAGGAAGGAGACGAAGCCCCAAGTCCCAGCAGCTGCCTGGCCTGGCCCCTTCAGGATGGCTGCACCATAAGGGGGAGAGGTCACCTCCCGGGGCGTGGCTGGCAGGTTGGGGGTCCGGGGCGGGCGACACTCACCCCAGCGCGAACAAGCAGATGTGCAGCGCGTCCTCCGCGATGAAGTCCAGGTAGAAGATGGCGCCTGCAGAGGCAGAGCGCATGCGCGCAGGTGAGCTGATGCCCGTCGCCCGCCACGAGTCTGCCTAGGGTCTGCCTCTCTCCCCTATCCGGGGCCAGAGTGGCTAAAAATCCCACAAACGGTACTTACGAAAATTCTAGAAGAATGAAATAATAGCCATTCTGGGGAGCAAGCTCCTCCTCCCCCATTTCCATCTATTTTCTTACATTTTTATTTGGAGATCAGACTCACAAAAAAATGGAGTCCCCATGTACCCACCTTCCTCCAAAGAAACTGACCTATTCACCAAGGGGCACTTACCCTGCCCCCACCCCCTTCTCAAGATGGATAACCAAGGCTTTGCAGGTAAGCTGTCCACTGGCCAGGAAGTGTGCAGCCTGAGGTCCACTTCATGCTCCCAATTCCCTGCCCAACTTCTGACTCCACCATGGGGTTCATCACCCTTTCAACCTTGATCAGGCCAAAGTTCTTGACAGTGAAATGGTAACACAGGCCTGAAGAAATGTAATTATGCATTTCTGAACATATTCAGTGTTGCAACCCAATGACCCAATGTTACCTCAAATTAGTCAGGTTAGTTTTTTGTCTGCTCTGGTCATTGCTACACAGGCCCTCCTCACAGCACAGGGCCTGCTGTTCCTGCTTCTGGGAATGGGGCTGAGAGGCCAGTGCAGGACACACGGGGCCTCCTCTGAGGCAGGCTCGTAGGTCTTTTTTTAGAATGATTTATTTTTATTTACTTATGCATACAAGAACTGGGGTATAGGCCAGAGGAGCAAGGGGGTGAGCTGATTGACCAGGGACAGAGTGGGGAGCAGAACAGGAAGATCCACTGAAATACACTGCTGAGGGCAGCAGCAGGGAGACAGGAGAGGTCTGTTGTGCCCTGTGGGTCAGCTTTCTGGCGGGGGATCAAACTCACACCACTGGCAATAATAGCTTGATAGTGCTGAGACTTTAACCCCTCAGGGAGGCCCAGTCTCAGGATCTTATTGGGCATTTTACTATGAACATTTTAGTCACCAATGCCACTTTTTAAAAAAGCCCAAAAAAATCCATAAACGGATATGCTTGTGGCCTCTGAAGCCATCTCAGGAAGATGATGAAAAGAATTAAGAAAAAAAGGGAAATATAATAATGGTTGTTGACGGAGCACCTGCTGTGTCACAGATGGTTCAATACTCCTCATCTCTGAAATCACACAGGAGACATCTGTGGCCTCTCGGCCAACAAAACTTGAAAACTGAAAGAACCTCGCAGAAGCTGAACAAAGTGGGCAGCGTGTGGACTGTGCATATCCCACTCTAGGAGGTAAGTGTTATTCCTCCCATTTCATGAGTGTGGAACTGAGGCTCAGAGAAGTCAAGTGAGATCCTCAGAGTCACACAGCTCTAGATTATGTGGGGATGTAAGCTAAGGTCTCTGGTTCTAAATCCTGAACTTTCTCCATGATAGCATGTTCAGCACTGGCCAGCAGACAAGTGGGCAGTCCAGGCCGTCTGACAGAGGTGGGGCCAGTCCACCCACACGGGGCAGTATCCCCCTCTATAGTACAAGATGACCCCCAGCAGTGCCCTTTACCTGCTGTGATAGCGACAGTTGTGGACAGGATGTAGCCCACGCTGGCAATCAGAGAGGAGTCGTACATCTGCGAGGCTTGACTTAAAAACCTTCAATACAAAGGCACTCTGGTCAGAGGGCTGTGGGAAGCTGAGGGCCGTCCGCCTTGGTGTGAAACGCAAGAGGACACATGAGGGAACTCTTGGGGTTTACATCGATGCCATCCTGGGAGTCTCCAGGTCTAGGGCTACACTTTGCTCCCAGTCTTCCCTGAGATGAAGAGTCTGAGGCCCACCCCATCCCAAGGGAACATGCCTCCCCCGTTTCACACCTGGACCCCATGCTTCCTGTCACCCCACCCCACCAAGAAGAGCACCCTGGTCTCTAGTGCACTCCAAGGAGCACTGATGGCCCTAATCACATTCTGCCTAGTTGTATCATTACATTTTTCTTAATTCAAAAATTAATGTAACCACTACAACAAATAAAGGAAAAAGAAAATTACGGACCTTCCCGATTGCTAGGAGAAACACTAACATCGCCTGGGGACATACTGTGCCAGATCTCTGTGCAGTATGACAGTCGGCATTCAGCCTCATACTCTGCCACAGGCTTCCTGTCCCCCTCCTGGGGCTGTGAGCCCCCTCGACTGTCTCACCACCCAGGCTCTGAGCCACCCTGCTGTCCCCATATGGTGGGGGGACTGGCCAGGCCTGGTGCCCTGCCCCACTGTGCGCTGGTTGAGTGAGGAGCTCCCCGCCAGGAAGGTGGAGCGTTTGCTTCCTCTGGTGACCCTGGATAGCCGCATGAGGGGCTCAGTGATGGCGACTAGGACGAGGAGCAGCAGTCACAGTGCTAAAAGGGGGTGATACGACAGGCAGCACCCTGGGGACTGAGCCCACGGAACTCCGTGTGCTTCTTGGGGAAGGATGAGGAATGGGAGACTTCAGAGCAGAGGGGTGAGGAGCGTTGCTGGGGGGCCTGCTGCTCCCCACTTCCTGGCTGCCTAGACACAATTCCTTATTTGCAAAATGAGGATACACATGTGTTTCGCATGATGCTGATGCCAAGGGGATTAGATGAGCTCAAGTTCAAGTGACAGCAGTGAGCACCCAGCACCCCCTCAGCAGCTGCATTCAGGAGGCCCGTCAGGGCCTGCCCTGGCTGGGGTGGGTCAGCCTCACGCACGGCTCACCTCCCGGCCCACGCAGGGCTGTCACATGTCCGCCCAGCCCCCACCGCCTGGCTCCGGGTCTCAGACATCACAAGGCCCAGCCCCCCCCAGTTATTGTCACTTTTTACCTAATTGTCTTTCTTAAAGAAAGAACTCTGTTCGTCTATTTGGGAAGATTTGGGGAGATCTTGAGGATGAGAAGTGAAACTTATTTTGTTTTCCATCTGGGTGGGTTGTGGGATGGCACAGCTTTGTCTGAAGTCCCCAAGGCAGACATCAGCAAGGATGCACGTGGGAAATGAGGGCCCCAGTCACGCGTTTCTCACAATCTGAGCCAGAGGGGGGGCTGCCACTCTAGGCTCGGTGTTTTGGGTGCACAAAGGCCCTGCTTTGTGTGTGACCACCCCGGGTCTCCACTGTGGACACCAAGCCCTGGTGAGAGGCAGCGCTGGAATGTTCTGCATTCCCTACAGCTTTGAACACAAATGCAATCAGGCTGAGGAAATGGAAGCGACCCATGTGGCCAGGTCCAGCAGGACAGCGACATGCAACTCACGCGGCCTGATAGATGGCGGTGGCCACCATGCACACGAGCATCACGTAGAAGATGGGGTAGTCCAGCTGCAGGTTCCCCTGTATGGACAAGACCAGCATCCCAGCCACGGCCTTCACGGTCACCACCGTCATGGAGCCTGGAGAGAGGAGCGGGAGCTGAGATCTCGGCCAGGGAAGGAGTCTGTTTATGTGCCTGGAGGTCTTGGTTAAAAAATTAGCAGCTGCACGGTGAGCCCAGAGTGATGCTGTGGGGTCTCCTGTCCATCTATCTCCTGTCCATCCAGGGGTTGCCCACCCTTGTGCCCTTGCATCAAAGAAGGGTGGACAGCAACCCCCGAAGTATCTCCAAATGTGGATTCTAAACTTCCCATGAAGAAACAATGAGTACAGTTCTCTGAACCCCCAGAATGGTGGGAGGTCACGATGACCAGAAATGGATAAATGACTTTCTTTCGAGAGTCACTCTCAGGGTCACCCTGGGGCACATGTAGACACAGCCGAGTCTTTTTAGTCCTCACTCACCCATATTTCTAAACAATATTTCCTTAAGTCAAAGGTCTCCAGAGGTTGTGGGTGCACGTGGCTGTGAGGACACGCGGCTTTGCCAACATGTGCACAGGCTTGCCCAGCCCAGCATTATAGTCACACCACACTGCGCTGAGACGGCAGGTGTAGTACAAGCCATGTACAGAAAATAGTTCAAAGGTGGAGACAAAAAGAAAGGCAAGTTCTAGCATCTTCTTCCCACAGGCCCTGTAGACCATCTTCCTCACCTCATGATGGAGCCCACTGCTTTATCCAGAGGCACAGAAATGATGTTCCACTCTGAATGGTCAGACCCCCTTGCAAAACAGGTATGGTCCCACTTAGGGTACAAAGGGGGTGCCCCTGTTCAGGTGCGAATGTTCTGTTGCCTGTTTCCTTAGTCGCCTTCTGCCAACAGCCCGTCACACGTGGTGGCGTCTCGGCCCTCTGCTACTTCGGCCACAGTCGCCAGTCAGAGGAGCACGGTCACCCAGCTGTCCTCAGCGTGACAGAAGGGGTTAGCCAACGTGCCTTAGAACCTCTGGCCTTCCTCTCACCCGGACAGAGCCTTCTGGGATGGTGACCTTCCAACCCACTTTGAAAACAAAAGCACCGAGGAATGGACAGTGCAGACGATGTCCTCGCACATGACGCTTGGACAAAGAACCAGTCGTGAGCCCCGTACTGTCTGATTGCATTTATGTCACGTGCCCAGAAAGCCTGTCCGCAGAGGCAGGAGGCGAGTCGGGGGTGGCCAAGGGCTGAGGGGAGAGAGAGGGTGACGGCTCATGGGCACAGGGTTTCTTTTTGGGGTGACAAAACCATTCTCATTTTGATTCTGAAGACAGCTGCAGAATGCACCCTTTGAATGCACCCAACTCTACAGAACTGCATCCTTTAGACAGGTGAATTTCCTGATATGTAAATTATATCTCAATAAAGTTGTTTTTAAGAGAACTCAAAATAATGGAAGCCTGTCCACGTGGCACGTGTCTGTGTGGTTTGTGGCCTGCCAGCAGGGGATGGGCTTTCTGTGGGAAGGAGCCAGGTCTTCACAGCACCCATCCTGCAAATGAAGAGGGAGGGATGGAAGGAAAAGCCAATCCTCCAACAGACAAACAGGAAATCAACAACGGTTTCGTTTCATTTGCTTTTGAGTCCAGAATGAATGGATAGGTTTTGCCTGTATCCTATGGATTCGATTATTGAAAATGTTCATCTCTGTCTTCTCTGAAATACCCTCTTATCCCTCCCCCAACTTCTTTCACTGTAATTCTCACTGCCCAAACATACACAATCTACGAATTTGTCTACTTGTTGAGCACTGATTGCTCCTTTTGGAGGGTGGGGACTGGTCGCATGTACTGTAGGAGCCAGTCCCTGGCATCATGCCTGGCACTTGGAGACAAGAACAGCTCCTCATGGGAGCTGCCGCCAGGACACGGGGCCTCAGCCACCTGGACCCCACTTACCCAGCAGCGCCACCAAGAGAAGAATCACGACGATGTTGTTGGCATTCTTCTCTTTGTAGAAGTACAGCAGCAGGCAAAACAGGACAATCTCCACAAGCTACAGAAAGTGACAGTGCGGAGGTCAGTGGGGACCAGAGAGAAAGGGGAGACCAGGAGATCCAGCTGCAGTTTATGCTGCTGGTTCCTTCAGCCACAGCCCCTTAGTGCCACAGGGGGATTCCCGAACTACTGACCAGTATCCTGAGAAAGCAGACGACTGACCCGTGGCAGTGACAGTGAGTCTCTCTGACCCCTGGAGAAGGAGCTCACCTCCTGGTGGGGCTGTGTGGGTGCCGAGCTGGCCTCGTAGGCACCCAGGCTTAGGCGACTGGGTTGAGAGCCATGAGGCTGAGACGGTCTCTTGCACTTCCTTGCTCCATGGGCAACCCCATGAAAACCAAGGGTCAATCAAAGAGGGAGACACTTGCTCATCAGGGAGACAGTACATATGTCTCTTGCCCCCTGATCAAACCTCCAATGTATGTGGATGGCAGAGTAGAAAGTGGAGGCTGTTTGGAACCAAAAGGCTCAGCTTGGAACTTGGATCACTTTGAAACTAGTTGTGTGACGTTGTACAATCACTGAACTTCTCTAAACCTCAATTACTTCCTCTGAAAAATGGGGCAGTGGCTCTTCCATTAAAGGACCATGAGGAGTACTATTCTAAACACTGTAGCTGTACCAAGCCCATAAAGTCGGCACAGGCTGTATCAGTCACGAGAAGCTGGGGTCTGTCACCACCCCGAGCTGGTGGAAGGCAAAGGCTGGGTTTGAACCTGGGCAGTCTAGCTGCAGGAAGCATACATGTTCTGCTGGGCCACGCTGCCTGAGGACGGGGTGGGGGTGGGGGTGACAGCACTTGGCATGGAAAAGCTGCTCCAGAAGAGTCTCAGAGACAATGGCAAGTCTGAGGCATTCTCCACCTTCCCTGGTGGCAGCTAGTCCTCTCCCCTCCTTACACTTCCAAGCATTTGGAAACACTCTCCTAAGTGAAGTGAGCCGTAGCTCCCACACAAAGGAACCAGAAAACCCTGACGAGGGCTCAGCGTCACCTGCCTACCCCTCCCCTGGCAAAAGCTTATTGATTATCAAAACTAATGCAGAGACATTAACGGGCACTTCAAAAAGAAACATTAAAAAAAAAAATCCCTTATAATCACAGGCCGTAAAACACAGCTGTTTTCCCTTTCCTGTCCCTCCCTGTCTTTGTCCCAATGTAGACACGTTTTATCTATGTGTCACCAGATCAACATGAATTTCAGATTGGGCCATTTTCAGTTACCATAAACAATCTTCATATTCTATGTAGTTGTCATAATTATCTCCAATGGCTGCAGAATACTCCAGCCACCAGATGCAGAGTTACTCATTAACGTTTCCAAGCACCCCAGCTCAACCACAGATACCAGAACAGCTCTGTGTGCTGCCGCTGGCTGCCTGAGTCTGCCCTGGTGCATCCTGACAGACCATTCTAGTCATGGCTCCTTATCTTTACTATCCAGTGTCTGGCACACAGCAGACAGCCCCTAAACATTTCCTGGGCTTGATTTGGCCAAACCTCTCTAGCTGGCCACACTACCTGAAGATCACCGTGCAGACCAACCAGACCAGTTCCTAAGCCCTGGGCCACTTCCACACCATCTCCTGTCTCTGCCAACCGCAGCCCAGGCCCACGGCTGGGCCAGTTAAAGAGAAGTGGGCAGAGCTTCTGATTTAGTGGCCAGGCCAGGCTACACAGAACAGGGTAAGCCCAGGACGCCCCCAGGGAAAGGCCTGTGTCTGGGGGGAGAGCTTTCCTGAAGTGGTGGGTCTTGGCGTGATCCTGGGGAAGGTCCTCCATTCCCCCCAGGGAAACGCTGGGCTTGGTGAGCATGAGGGAGCTGACGCAGCCCAGCCCTTGGAATCTATTCTGAGCCTGTGGGAGCCTGAAGAAAAGGTCTTCGCAGGCCTCTTGAGTAGTCCCAGGCGGCCTTGTCAAAGGAAAGTGGTGAGCACTTCTGCCAGGGAGGGAGGGGGCGCCGGAGAAGCGGTGCAGGGTCCAGCCCTCTCGAGGGACTTTGAGCAAGTAGCTAACTCCCAACCCCAACACTTTATAGGGCTGATGAGAGACTGCGATGATGCATACAAAGGTGTTTGGCATGGTCCTGGCCCCGGAACAGGTATCTGCCAGTAGTTTTATTAAGTGCTTTAGATGTTCTGTCACTAGTATGTGGGCAGATCTATCAGGATGGAACTGGGGCAGAGAGATGAGTTCTGGCCAGGGCTGGGAGACAGGTTTCCAGTGTTTCTACCAGCTTCCAGCAGTTGTGGGACATGGGACAAAAATAAATAAAGAACATTGGATATTTGCTTTCTGTTTCACATTTCAACCTTTTTTCTTGCCACGCAAGTTTTACATGCCCACTGTAGAGAGACTGGATGACACAGAAAGATGAAAATGCCATAAAACTCCCCCACAACCGCACCTCTCAGAGCCATCTCCAGGTGGGGTTCCTGGTCTCCCCACCTGTCTCCTGTAGATTACACCCCTACAAATACTTCTCAAGCACAGAGCTGCTGCACTGTGTCCAGACAGAGCATCACTCAGGACCCAGGAGAAGGCCAGCCCACGATCACTGCTGTCTCCACAGCAGGGGCTCAGCCGTAGTGGCGTGACAGACCCACCCAGTCACCTCCCCACCCCTACTGGGGCTCAGGTTTCTGGTTTCTAGGACCCCTCTTCCCCCCCCCCCCATGCAGTAGAAGGCCAGACACTTCCCTTACCATGTATAAGAGAAAGGGCCAGCTCACGAGGTGCCTGGTGATGTTCTCTCCAGTCATCTTCTCATGACTGTTGGGTGCAAATGTCACCAGCAAGTAGGTGCCCACGACGGCCAAGCCACAGCCAAGGAAGGATGAGACATAGCGCCCTGTGAGGAGAAGGGTGATCCAGGTTCACTGTGGGATCCAGGCTCACTGTGGGGCCTCAGGGGTCACTGTGGGGTCCAGGCTCACTGTGGGGTCTCAGAGTTCACTGTGGGGTCCAGGGCTCAGTGTGGGGTCCAGGTTTACTGTGGGGTCCAGGGCTCACTGTGGGGTCTCAGGGTTCACTGTGAGGTCCAAGGCTTACGTGGGGTCTCAAGGCTCATTTTAGGGGTGGGGTCCCAGGGCTCACTGTGAGGATGGGCCCGAGGCCAGCATGTACTTAGAGGCAACAACTTGTGACCTATTATTATTAGTTGTTTTTTAAACTTTAAAATGTAGATTATTTGCCTTAGTTTAAATATATTTAAATTACCCCTTCCCCTTCCAACTGACTAAGTGATATTTGAGGCAACTACTTAGATGCCTGGCTTGTTAGAAACATTTGTGGTCCAGTAGGCCTGATCCTGGGTAAAGGATCAGTCTCCTGACTTTTTCCCAGGGTCCTGTCACACTTCATGAACTCCACAGGGTTGGCAAAAAGTCTTCTTGACCAAGGGAAGCTGAACTGATAAAGGTGTAATATACACATATGCATATACATGTACATTTGTGCATACATAAACCTAAATTATACATAAAATTATATATGTGCACAATACACAGACTGCATATATGTGGTTGGTCCCAACAGAATTGGGCCTAAGTTATCCCACATATCCTAAGTGTGTAGGTGTGCCATAAAACTCCCCCACAGCTGGTAGGTGTGTGTAGGTGTATAATGAGTGTAATTACGTTCTGTGATGTTCACACAGTGACAGGATCATCGAAGGAATTATCCCCATCATTAAACAGTGCACAATGGCATACACAATGGACTACAACTCTGACATGAAAAAGAACGAGATCCTGCCATTCATGAGAACATGGCTGGATCTCGAGAGTATTATGCTAAGTGAAATGAGAGTCAGATACAGAAAGGAAAATACTGTATCATTTCATTGATATGTGAAATATATTAAAAAAATCACAGAGATGGATTGATAGTTACTAGAAGGGTAGAGGATGGGGGCAAAATGGGCAAAGGGGCTCCTGAGGTAGAAACTTCCAGTTGCAAAATGCATAAGTGAAGGAGATGAAATGGACAGTTTGAAGACTATAGTCAATAATACAGCAAAGGGATTGTGCCAATTTACATTCCTACCAGTAGAACATAACAGTCTGTGTATCTGAAAAATTTTCCATTTTCTATTTCTATTTTCTTAGCAGTACATATATTTGAAAATAGAGGAAAAACAGTCCTATTGGAGTCATTTTGTAAAGTATAAAAATGGTGAATCATTCAGTTGTATACCAAAAATGAAAATAATGTGACCCGTCAATACTGTAATTAAAAAAGCGATATGCCAGTTTATTGTCCTACATTTCCTTCAGGCAGCAGTAGAAAGAGCTTACTCCTTGTGCCTGTGGTGTCCAGCACTGGTCCAACACTGAGTGGCTAAGGAATTCAATGAACTTTAGGTAGGGGCTAAAGTCAGTGGAACTTACTCAGAAAGTCTTTAGGTTTCCATTTTTCTTTGATGAATATGATTCCTATGATGGCGCTAGCTATAAAAAAAGAGAGAGAGAAAGAGAGGAGAATTCTGAGGCTGCTGTAGTACAAAGGCGGTCTCCTGCCTACACCCTCAGGGCTGGCTCACTGGCGTTGGAGCTGGGCGCTCCTGGCCCCTCACTCACGCTCCTGAGCTCAGTCCCTGCTGGCTCCTGTTATCCCATCTGGGAAGGGAGATGCCTCTCAAGCCTTCCCGGGGACGTCTTACAAAGCAGGAGCAGCGTGTGAGGCAGGCAACACAGACAAGCTATTTCTGGCACATCCACCTTTGGGGTCGTGGTACTGTTTGAAAATGGGGACAATCACGCTAAGAGAGAGGAAGGACTCCAGACCCCGCAGCGGCTGAGAAAGGGCCAGACTCCAACCGGGGCTGCTGGGGCAGGACGTGCACCCTGCCCACTGCAACCCAGCTCTGCGGGCTCCCGGGTCTGCTCTCCCTGACTCGGCTGCTCGCAGACGTCCGCAGGCTTCCTCGTGGCTGTCCTGGGGCCGGTGTTCCCTTGGGAGGGACCTGCCTCGCTATTCCGCTCTGCCTCCGCCAGCTGCCTGTCGGTGGCTAAGTCACTCCACCTGCATTTCGGTTTCCTCGTCTGCAAAACAGTGCGTTGGGTCCGCCTCACGCCAGCTTGCTGATGGTCAGCTATTCATTGCTGCCTTGAAGTCAGGCACAGCGCAAGCACTTAGTCCACAGAAATGAGAAACAGCAAATCAGCTCTTCCTCTTCTCTCTTCCCACTTTCCTGCCCCTTTTCTCTTTGTCCCCTCCCCTTTCCCCCTTCATTTTCTTCTTTCTCTCTGAGAGTTGGCTTCTCACCACCCCACTGAAAAGACCTACTTTTCTGAATTATAAGGGAAAACAAGTGAGACCATATATGTATGTATTTGTCATACAGTAAATGTTCAACAACTGAGTTGTTGTTATTATTACTAAAATGCCTGGTACTGTGAATGATAAGTAGTAGGTGACCAGAATAGAATGGCTGTGATTATTTTAATATTTATTTCTTTTTAATATTATTTCTCATTGGTGACTTAAGGAGCTCTAAGTTCCTTATTTCAGGTGGTTGATACTGAGCTCTCTATGATAATTCAGCCTTTTACTTATGTGTATTGGATTTTTTAAAAACCTTATTGATATTTAAAGATTCACATAAAATATTAGTCAATCATCTTCATTGTGAATAAAGATTCTGAGAGCCCTTTGGACCTATCAGCAATGGAGAGAGTACAAACCCGAACACCTGCAGAGGTTGAATAATAACATAAATGCGGAAAGCAGGTCAGATGTCCAACAACGGGAAAAGTTGGTATCCACTTGCCTCAACCAAAGGCATTCGCACTGCATTAAAAAGGAAAGAGGGTGCTCCCTGGTGGCACAATGGGTTAAGGGGCAACACTACGAAGCTTGTAGCAGCCACTTCAGCTTCAGCACAAGTTCGATCCCTGCCAGGGGGCTGACCCACAGGGCGCAGCAGACCTCTCCTGACCTTCCTGCTGCTCCCCTCAGCAGTGCACTTCATCCATCTGCCTACTCTGCTCCCCACTGTCTCTGGTGAATACTCTCACTTCCCCTGCACCTCTGGCCTGTACCCCAGTTCTGTATGCACAAATAAATAAATCTTGAAAAAAGGAAAGAAACGGATACTGCATAGAAAAGAACATGGCATGTTTGAAGCCCTTGTGCACCTGTGGACTGCTGGTATACCAATCCTCGTCAAGAGAAACAGGCTTTTATCCTAGGATCAGGGAGAGCACACAGGCTTCCACTCCTTTGCCAACTCCTGGTGACTGGTAGTGTCTGCCTAAAGTGCTGAGAATTCTGAGGCCCCAGGTTTGGGGATCACTGGTTACAAAATAGCTCTCAGGAAGAGAGGCTATGATTTTTAATTACATTAATTCGTTAGTTAAGTAATGATGCCTGCCATGGGCACAGGAGGGGGATGAAGTCTCACATATGCCATCTTGGTGTACAAGGAGCCTTCTTAATTCTAGGAGTAAGACTCAGAAGAGGACATTCTCCTTTAAGAGCAGGAAAGTGCTTTTGGCAGCATTCTGCTTGCCAAGATGATGGAAGGAAATATTTCAAAGCAAGTTCAATCTCCCTGCTCCTACATACAAAAAGCTATTGTTCATTAATCTACCAACATCTTTTAAGAAGATTTTTTTCTCTGATCCTATTTTACCTGTGACCTCATGGGCATTCAAGTTTAGTAGGCTCAAATGTTCTGAAACACTGGCTGGGTAATTTCAGAAACCATAGAAAAATGGCAGGTGCGAAGGTTCATGATTTTTTTTTTAAAGATTTATTTTTTATTTTTTGCACACAAGAACTGGGGTACAGGCCAGAGGTGTGGAGGGTGAGAGGATTCATCAGAGACAGAGAGGGGAACAGAACAGGCAGATCTACTGAAATACAATGTTGAGGGGAGCAATGGGTGAGACAGGAGAGGTCTGCTGCACCATGTGGGTTGGTTCCCTGGCCAGGGATCAAACTGGTGCTGCAGTGGCTGTGGACAGCTTCATAGTGCTGAGCTTTAATCCACTGCACCAGCAGAGAGGGGCCCTCGAAAGTTCATGTTTTTAAAATAGTCTCTGTCAATGCGAGAAGATCAGACAATTAGTTGACTACGCATTTCTCGGAGGAGTGAGGGGCCTGGAGTCTATTAAAGTTTATTTATCTTGACAGTGTTAGGCTGAATGGGCTAAAGTTTATTTTTCTCCTGGAGCAGAAATAAAAAGCAACTCTGATAAGCTTTCTGAACTTAAACATCCCAACCCTGCTGCTTACTAGCTGTGCCACTGCTCTGTGTTCATTTTCCTCATCTGTAAAACGGGGGACAATAATAGTACCCCCCTTAAAAAGGCCACCCAGAGGATTAGAAGACTTGGTATGTGTTAGCGTCTAGAGCAGGCCGGCTATGTAAGTGCCAGTAATTATTATCAAGACAAGCGTCTCATACTGTCTGATAAGGCCACGAGGGGGGGGTCCCCATCTTACCTATCACAGAGACGGCACTGAGAGGCACGATCAGCGAGAGTGGGGCGAAAGCATATGAGGCGAACACGCCAAGCTCCCCCAGCAGCATCAGGAACAGGCCCAGCCACCATGTCTTGGTCTTGAAATAGGCCCGGGGGTCCTTGGAGCCTGCCAGGCGGATGTGGCAATACTTCTAGAAAGCCAAGAAAGAATGCCAGATGCTCAGATGTTTGGGGGGTAAGTGCTGTGAGGCCTGTATCCCAAACCCACCCCTCACTTCTACAATCAACTTGGGAAGATCTGTGGGTTCTTCCTGGAGTCCTTACTCAGGGAACAGCAAAGCAGAAGCAATTAAAACACTAGATTGCTATTCTAAGACAATTGTTTCTAAATATTCCCTGGAGAGCTTTGCAAAACTACACAGCTGGGCCTCCTGCCTCCTGCTGAGAGGCGTGGCCTACAAGCATGCATACCCAGCAACATCACTGGCAAGGCACTGGGCGGAGCATGATCGAAGGACTCCCACTTTGGCCTGGCTTCGGGTGGGCTCCCTTTAACTGCAATGCCCAAAAGCCCCCATGTTTGGGGTACCCACTTGCCTGCGCTCCTTTCTGTAGAAGTATCAGCTACCAGGGGGCCTAGGTGGCTACTTGGACCATTCTGGAATGGGAACCCAGGACACGGACACAGTGACTGTGGAGAGCCAGAACGTCAGGCTGACTTTGTGGGGCAAAGTTGCCACTTGGGGAGGGTCACAGTGAGGGCTGCAGGGTGCTAGAGATGATGGTCTCTGGGGAGAAGAAAGTGAACCAGGCGGGTAGCTAAGACCACGTGGCTTCAGAAACACAGCCACACGCTCACGTGTGGACAGAGCTGAGTTAGCGGCAGGCAGGTGCGCCAGTGACACGAGCCTGCACCTGCTCCGGGAGGGGAACAGCCCTCTGCAGCTGGAAGCCAGGTGGAGGGAGTTGGCGGGACGCCGTGGGGTTTACCCTGAGACAAGAACTTGGGAGCAGATCGTTGGGTTGGGATTCCAGAAAGCAGTGAGGGAGTGGGAAGAGGGGGGGAACCCCATAGAGTCATTACTAAGGGAGCCTTGAATAACTGGGGGCCCTTGGAGTATACTGTGAACCCACTCAGAACCAGCCATCTTATCCCAGCACTTGAGCCCACTTATCCATGGGCCCCTTCCGTGAGTTGAAGGTCGTCTGAGGGGCACTCACCCCAGGACACCATGGCACCCGCATGGCAGTAGAGCCAGTTCGCCTGTGCCCTCAGGAGAAGCTCCTCAGCTTGCTCAAAACTATAGTCGTTTGCCAACTCAGACAGGATGGAGAATCTGGGCAGGGCACCCCCAGGAGCTGTTCCCGGGCACCCGGGACTTGTCAGCCGTGGAGCTGACATCAAGGTTGAGTTTTACAAAAGGGGTAGCTTGTGCAAGACACAGGACAGGATGAGACCTGAGGCAGGGAGACCAGCGAGGTGGTCACTGCAGCAGTCCAGGGAGAGTAATTAAGGACCTGAGCTGTGGGCTGAGTGGGGTAAAGAGTCAGGATTCTGGGACAACCCACAGCTACTGACCCAGTGCAGGGAGCGAGTGGGCACGAAGCCCCAGCTGGAGGCAGCAGGGCCTGCGCCGGCCACCCAGCTCACCTGCCCAGCTCTACCCCAGCGCTGGTGATGGAGCTTTTTGGGTTTTTTGGTGATGAAACTTACCTGGAGGTTAAGTGCGATGCTGACCACAAGGTGCCCGAAAATCGCCAAGAGGGCACCGATCAGGTTTTCCTGTAAGGAAAGTTCAGAGGTGCAGACATGAGCTACCGGGTCCCAGTTCAAGGCAGTTGAAATAGTCACTGCAAAGCCACATCCTAGACCCTCTGCTGGCGTTTCACTGCCCAAGCGGAAGCTGGCTGCCTTGATGGTTTACAAACAGCCCTGGAAGGGACACTTCCAGAAAGTGCCAGCCTCAGGCTGCTGGACACTGTGACCTCATACCGCCGAAATCTGCGCTGGTGTAACCCTTAATGTGTGGATTTGCCACGGTGCTCACACAAAAACAACAGCCAGGAACCAGAACTTAAAAGAGGAAAGCAGCCCTGATGCTATCTGCCATCTTATCATGGCAGTTCTGCTCCCAGCAGGGTTGCAATGAGACTCTTTCGATGAAGAGATTAGGACATTTTAAGTTATTTAATTTGTAGAAACTTAATAACCTTAAAATGAGGCTCAGCTTCCTCGTCGTGGCATTAAAAAATTTAATAAAATGAATGCCAAGCATATATTTATTGTAGCTAATTAGGAAATCCAGATGAAAAAAGAGTAACCATCACCCAAATGAAAAGCCACCTGTCCTTGTAAACTTTTTTCTGTTTTATAAAATAACTTTTATAACCTGTTCTTTTACTGAAGATATTATAAACTGTCTTTTCAGATCCCTGTGATTTATCATTTTAAATAAATGTCCAATAACCCGCCGTTTGGCTGTGCCATCGCTTATGTCGCTGTTTCTCTATCAACTGGGTTGTTGAGATGTCTCCTTTTTTAAAAATCAATATTGTGATTGACGATTCTATACACCCATTTCTGTGCGGGTATGAGGATTCTTCCGATGAGGTAAATTCCTAGAGCTGCGGGGTCACTGTGTGCTTGGCTCAGTATTAGCTGACCATATCCAGGCGAGCTCTCTCCGCCAGCTCTGAATCCTCCCTCCCTGGATGGGCCTTTCCCCGCCCCCACTCTGCTCCATGGCTCCCCCCAGCCAGTGGCAAGCCCTTATGCCATCTGCCCATATGCAAGACCTGGGCCAGGTCCTAGCAAATGAGCAGTGACCTAGACAAACACAGTCCTTTAGTCCATCTGGAAGGACAGATAATTAGGAAGCCTACGGCATGACGTCAGCCCTCTGTCCCTCCCTTCCCTCTCCTGCATTGCTGAGCGCCTAGAGGGGACCCCCGGGACAGGGAGAGGATAGGAGAGAGGGAAGCTCAGTGACGGAGGCCGGGTCACCAGCCACGTCCCATCAGGCTATGTGTCCATGTCTGTAAAATATCAGCCCTGACCCAGATGACCACCAAGGTCAAGGTAAGACTCTGGTCAAGGCCAGAATGCCAACTAAGTAACTAAGAAACTAAGTAACTGTTAGGCCAGAGGGGGACACTGAATCACTTCAGTTATAGGACAGCTCATGGCTCATGAACGGAGGTTATTAGAGGCCTCTCTGGGACCCCAGGAGCTGGCAGCTATCACAGCCTGGGCAGCCCTGGCTCGGTCCTTCTCCTTTCCTCTCCTTTCATGCACTTTTCTCTCAGATAAAATTAAGCAGAAGCCACGTCCTTTCTGTAAGGTGACCGGATCTCAGAGTTAAAAGGGTCACTGGAGGCACCCAGGCCAGGGTTTCCCTAACTGGGTCCCAGAGATGTCAATGGGGTTCCAAGGCAAAAGCATCCAATGGTTATTAAACAGGTTTGGGGAGACCACAGCAAGGTCCACTGCTGGGAGCCCCCAGCGTGTGGCACATTAGAGGCGCTCTGACTCTGGAGCTCTGAGCGGGATCCACCTGCTGGCATGCGCAGTGGGCAGCTGCGATTTTCACACGTTTCCACGTTTTAATCAGTTTCCCTTTCTTCTGGTGGCGGCACCCTGATTTGCTGTGAGGACTCCCGCTTCCCCCACGGGCAGTCTTGCTGGGACTATCACTCCAGTGTCGGCCTTCGAGCTTCTGCTTCTGCTCAAAGGGGAGCCCAGCCCATGTAGAGAGGCGCAGTCTGTCCTTGGGGAGTCCCGGGGCGTGCAGAGGAGCTGACACACTGAAGTGGACCCAGAAACACTGGGAGAAAGGCGCCAGTGGCCGCTACGGAGCCACCACAACTGTCCTGGATTTGCCGTCCCACCCCAGCCCACCCGGTGACACCACATGTGCACAGAGGCGCTGCCCGAGCCCCCCCATACCCCTTTGTAAAGTCCTGACTTTATTATGGTAAAAACGTTCAACATAGGATCTAGCTTCTTGACGCGCTGTTAAGTGTTGACAGCTAGAGGACAATGTTGTCAGCAGACCTTTCCAGCATTCTCTTCTTGCATCACTGAGACAGTGCGTGGTGAGCAGCACCTGACCGCCCCCCTGCCTGTGGCCAGCGGCAGCTGCCAACTTACTTTCTGACCCTGAGTCTGACTACTTCAGCCACCTCAGAAAGGGGAACCGGCAGTATGTGTCTCTCTGTGACTGGCTTATTGTTTTAGTATGGGCTGCTGTAACAGGAAGTACACTCGTGGCTTCAGCAAACATTTGTATCTCATAGTTCTGGGGGCGAGAAGTCCAAGATCAAGGTGCCAGCCGACCCTGCTGCTGGTGAGAGGCTCTGCGTGTTGCAGATGGATTCCTTCTTGCTGTTCCCATGCGAGGCAGAGATCGTCTCTGTCAGTTCTGTTCTTCGAAGGGCACGGAGCCCCCGGTGAAGGGTGACCATTAAGCCCTCGTTACCGCTCAAAGGCCCCCCTCCAACTACCCTCCCACTGGGGAGGAAGGCTTCAACACATGGCTTTGGGGTCTCGCATTCAGCCCACAACACTTTTTTCTCAGGATTCAGCCATCTGGTGGCATGTTGCAGAAGGTCATATTCCTTTTTTTTTTTTTTTTTAAGTTTTATTTATTTACGCATACAGAACTGGTGTACAGGCCAGAGGTGCAGGGGATGACAGAATTCACCAGAGAGAGTGAGGAGCAGAATAGTACTGAAATGCACTGCTGAGGGGAGCAGCGGGCGGGTCAGGAGAGGTCTGCTGCGCCCTGTGGGTCAGCTCCTGGGTGGGAACTGAACTCACCCTGAAGTGGCTTTAGCTTCTTAGTGCTGTGCTTTAACCTGCTGTGCCACCAGGGAGGGCCTGGATCTTACTTTTTAAAAATTGTGGTTGTGCATCCTGACCTGTCTGACAGTGCGCTGAAGGATTGCCACAAGGCCTTTCCTTGGTTTTTGTCTGGCCTGGCAGGGTACCAGGGCTGGAGGCAGCCTCTGAGATGCTTTTCTTGAAAGCATTTCAAGACGGAAGTATTGGCTGCATGTGGGGAAAACTTGAATAAGGACGCAGGTGGGAGGAAGAGGGCTTTTAAAGCCGCTGTATGCCAGGGCACAGAAAAGGCTGTGCACATACCCAGGGTGGAATGTAAACTCCAAAAAAAGTCTGAGAAGGTGCTAAGCCTTTACCTCTGGCTAGCCTTCAGCCTGGGCACAGGCAGGAAATAAAGGCTGAAGCAGATTATAAATGGCTGGCAGAGCTCAGGAGGCCCCAATGCAGAACCACTCTGCAGACACTCAGAGAGTGTTTTGTTTTTCTCTTGTTGGTTCTAGGTGTTCAAAGAAACCATCAGAACACAAGCTGACCACCAAGCTAACAGACACAGGCTTCAGAGGGCCACGCACAGCAAAGAAGGTGGACGTCACAAAGGGATCTTAGAAAAACGACTAGACAAGCAAACAGTGACAGATGACAACAAGCAGCAACAACAGAGAGGGTGTCGTTTCCAGAGTTGCCACAGGTTATTCCAAATGTCCAGTTTCTACCGCTGTTGCGCCCGCCCTATCTAAACCCCGGGTACTTCCATCCTGCCAAAAGAAGCCCCAAGCCCATGAGCTGCCAATCCTCCCCGTCCCCCCCCCCCCACGACCCTGTCCACGAATTGGCCGGTTCTGGCCATTTCATACACGTGTGCTTCCATGAGGGGTTTCTTCCAATAGAGAGTCAAAGAGCCTTGAGGCCAGGCAGGGGTCAGCCCGGAAACTCAGTTTACCGGTACCAGCAAGTCACTGTCAGCGATTCTAGAGGAGCTGCCTCGGGCAGGGAGGAGACAAGGACTCCTTGTTCCCGCTGCAACACCTCAAAGCTGCTTAGTCACCCTCATGGTGGCAAAGGGGAGCAGGAAATGGGCTCCAGAGCTGTGCAGAAAGAAGCCCGAGGCCCGACTGGGGCTGCCAGAGGGCACGTGGCGTCGGAGGGCTGCAGGCTCACGGGCAGGCGCCGGGCACCTTGCTCTGCTGGACCTGCTCAATAATGTAGCTACGTTATTTTCACCCTGAGAGACCTGAGCCCACAGGCTGCCTGAGAAGGTGTGGTGAGGATCTGAGGCCGGAGGTCTGACTCCTCGTCTCCTGTTGAGCGTGACTCCCCCAGACTGGGAGGTGTCCTTCAAAGGTGGCACAATAAATTAGGAGAAAAAGAACCTCGCCTGCTAAGTGCTACATTCCCACAAGCCTATTATCTCCAAGCGTGATGACTGGCTCCAGAGAGACACGGTTAGTAACAGCACAATAAAGCGAGCGCCCTTTCATCCTGGCTCTCAGAGGGCTTCCTCCACACTCATTATGCCCCGAAACCCTTGTGAAGTGGTGACTGGCGCAACTTTATGAGCATTTAAAGTCAAGCAAAGAAGCTGCCATGGGCCCAGGGGTTACAGAGTTTGAACACACACCTATGGCCACCCTCAGGAGCCCAGGAGGGTGACCCCGCACCAGGAGACAGCTAGCAGGGCCCCTGACGGAAGGGCTTTCTCCAAATCTCAGAGCTTGAAAACTGTAAAACAAGGGTGAGTGTCCAGGTCTGCAGGCAGGGCGGGAAGCAAAGGGTGGTGCCCTCCAGCTTTCACCTCAACACTGCTGGGCACACTCTCAACCCACCATGCTCCTCTTCCTGCTAGGAAAACACCCCAGTTGCGTTCATCTAAGTTCTTTAAAGTGCTGCACTTGTGAGGACACGTGTAAGAATGCAAGGATGGTTAACCCAGGCTGGGGTCTGGCCTGTTGGAACATTGTCCTTTAAGAAAAGGGGGGCTATGGCCCTCCCTGGTGGTGCAGCGGGTTGAGGTACAGCACTGAGAAGCTAGGGCCACTTCCGCATGAGTTTGATTCCCGCCTGCCCCGGAGGTGACCACATGGCGTGGCAGACCTCTCCTGACCCGCCTGCTGCTCCCCTCAGCAGTGTACTTCGTCAATCTGCCTGTTCTGCTCCCCACTCTGTCTCTGGTAAAGCCTCTCGCCACCCCTGAGCCTCTGGCCTGTACCCCAGTTCTGTATGTACAAATAAATCTAAAAAAAAAGTAAAAAAAAAAAAGGGGGGGCTAAACAAACGTGCTCACTGAGGGGCAGTTGTGAGAACGTGGCCTGTGGCCTCAGGCCAGTGTCTCCACCTACTTCACCTTTAGGTCCTTCACCCCAAAATCAGCCAGGCTGATTCGTCTGGGGTAACACCTCATTGGGTTCCCAACAGCATCTCAGTTTGAATCCTTTGACAGCAGAGAAGAGAAAAAAGGGCTGCCCCTCGTTTTAAAGACAAATACCTCTTCCAGGCCTGCCCAGGTAAAGGACCTCAGTCACCTGAGAAGGTCTGAGACTCTGCAAAAGTAAGAATGAGCAAGTGTCAGAGTCAGTCCTGAACAAGGTCTCCCCAATACTTTGGTCCCCAACACTTTATGGGTGAGGAAGGAGTGAGGCCCGCGACCTCTCGGGAGCCTTGGGTAGGATACAGACGGTCCGAATCAGGGCATGTGAGATTGAAAGGATGTAACACACGAGAAGGCGAGGCAGGAACGGGCCTTCTGGTCCCTGTGCTGAGAGCACCGTGTCTGAGTGGAGTGTTGAGGAAAGTGGGTGAGGGCGAAACTAGGTGCGGACGGCAGGGCTCCAGGCTCCGCTGCCTCTAGCCCTGACTTCTTCAACCTCGAACAGCGCACACCTCTTTCCACTCCAGCTTCCTTGTGTGGATGCTGAAGGGCAGCAGGCCTGTGTTGGGGTTCTGCTCTGCCTCTCACTGTGGTGTGACCTGAGGAGAATGACCCGGTCTCTGAGCCTGCGAGGCTCAGACTGATGATAAACCCTCACAGGATTGTCACGTTATAGGAAATATGGCACGTGCTGAAACATCACCAGGCATGTGCTACACACCAAACCAATCCTGTTACTGTTATTTTTATAACTTTCATTGTATTATTACAATTCTTAGCGGTAACTTTCAGGTCCCTTCTGATGCTGATAGTCTCTGATCCAAGAATTGAACTCTAGTGAGCTACACCTCTAAAAGGGAAGAAATTACTCCCAGAAAATCAGACGGGAGAGGTCACAGAGGCAGGAAGGCTTGCTGGGATGTGGGTATCTGAGGGAAACCTCAGCCCAGATCTCGTGGTTACACCTGCCAACAACAGCCTCTGTTTCAATTCCAAGGCTTTAAGGGCAGTCTTTGCGCTCTCTCCCCTCCCCCCACTATCCTTAGGACTTAAAACCGATGCAGTATAAGCTGCATCCTGGTTGGCTCTGAAGATTACTCCATTCAAATACAAGGGAGGCAGCAGTCTGGTTAACCAAGGCTGTGCTACACCTGTAACCTGGTAAGCTCCATCTTTCAGGTGAGGCACTACCATTTCAATACTTAGTAATCAGCACCAGAGAAAGACGGGGCCTTGTGGAGTTCCTGACACAGGTAGGCAGCAAGGAGTGGTGGATAAAAGCAACGGCAGTAGACAGACTTGAACGAAATCTCAGCCTTGCCACTTGTCAACCGTGTGATGCTGGATAAGTTAATTAACCTTTCTGAGCCTGTTTCTCCACTTCTCAAATGGAAAAACGGTACCTGCCCTTTAGGGATTTTTGTGGGAATTGGCACAGCCTCTGTGTACACACTCAACAACTGGCAGCTGCTCTATTATTGTTAAGATTACGGTAATATTTGTCAGTTGACCTTGGAAGGTAGATAAAGTATGGCATTTTTATGTCATGAAGTTAACAAAGGCTTCATGGAAAAGGCGACACCTGAGCCAGAGAGTGAAGATTGTGCACGATTTCCACAGGCACCAGCAGAGGGTGATGCCAGCAGCTTTCGTTCCCCATCTGTAAATTCTGGTCAGCTTCATGACCAGCCTATAGGATGGATTTAAAACTGACCCGCCCAGGAGCCAGAGCTAGTGACACAGCTGGGATTTGATGTGAGGTCTCTCCAACTCCAAAAGCAGACTCTTAGCACAGTTCTCTACTTTTGTGCCACATTCTGTCTTAAAGTATAGAGACCTGTGGAACTGGCTCCCCCCCAGCTCCTTCAAGGGAACCTGCAGCTTAATTATCTAGATCATAATTATCTACCTAGATCCCATCCTGTCCAGCACAAGCATAGACAGACAGGCGCTCAACTGAAATACCCATTTGCTAAATAGAAGAAATCCGGGCTTGGCTCTTCAGGCTGAGGCAAGGCCTCCAGAGTCAGCTGCCTCCTGGCAACTCAGCCTGTTGACTGATCTCTTTCCCACTGTTGACTGATCTCTTTCCCAGACCCCTTCCTCCAACAATAGACTCCATTTCCTGCTGGGTAGGGCAGAGGGCAGGGCTGCAACTCAAGGCAATCTGCTGGCTTTTAACTTCATCCCACCCACCCTGTTTGACCTGGGGTGGCTTAATGTTTTGCCTAAAGGTAAGAGATGACTTTGGGCAGCCTGCCCAGTCAACAGACCACTTTTCTCTGAGCGCTGCCCATCATGTTTGCTGGGGGCCTCATGCCCTCGATTACCACTGATTTGGACCAATGCACACACCTGATGCAAGGTCTTCCCTCCTTGAAAGGTGGGGGCAGGAATTTAACACAGTGCAAGCCGCTGTCTTCCCTGCCCCTGGGTTCCTCCAACTTCCCTACAGCCATATAGTCACTCTCTGCCCCCTTTGGCCTGTTTCTTAGAAAGGATGTTATTCCTTACAAACAAAATAGCCTGAAAGAAAAAAAAAATGAGGAAGGAATCAGCTTCCCCTTAGAAACTCTTCAGCTGAACCCCAGCCGGAACGAACTGCCACCTCTGCTCTGTGCACTTTGGTCATTTCCGCTTTGTCTCCATGAGGCATTTCTGAGTCATGCACCTGCTACCTGGCACGCACATGGGTCATTTTCACTGCTCCACACAGCATGGGGGGCTGAGGAGAGGGAGGAATCATGACTCCCATTTTCTTCTTAATAGAAGCTGTGAAGGTTAAGGCATGGATGTCCAAGGTCACATACCCAGGAAGGGGCAGAGAAGCGACCTGAAGCCCGGAGCTCTTCCTTCTACCACCCCTGGCACTCCTACTAGCTCCGACCCTTTGTTCACATCTGTCTCCCACCTCAACTCGTCAGCTTTTCGGTAGAGTTACCATAACTAACAAAATCTTTGCTCTGGCATGAAGGTATTTCTGCAATAAGTAACTGAGTTAAATTTGTGATTAAAATTAATGAAAGTGAAATTTCTTATTAGAAACCTCAGCAGGCGGAGTTCTGTGTTTTCTTAGAGTCTTTATCTGTCTATTCGCTTTCCACCCACCCCTGGGCCTATTGTATTCACTCAACGGTGTGACTCTCTCTGTCCTTGATGCTCTAGCATTTGTGGCCTTACTGGCTAGAGAGTCTTGTCCAGGGAGAGCCAACTCTGAGCACTGCTTACTGTCACGGGGGATGAGAAAAGACCTCCACTGCAACAATAGGGGTCCTGTCCAGCAAATTTTGATACAGCAGCTTAACAGATTATGAAGCCATCAGTCAAAAAGCATATTTTCATCACAGTGACATGGGGAAACATTCCACAAGAAGGTTAACTGAAACCACCAAAATAGGAATCTTAACAGAAATCTGATCCTGAGTTTGCAATGCCAGAAAAAAGCAGAAAGGAAATACATGGGAATATGACCAAAGGTTGTCTCCCAGTAGCCAAACAGGTAATTAAAAAAAAAAAAAATCACCCTATGTGGGAATGCATTCCTTTACGACTATGTGTCCATCTCTGTATTTTAATGCTAGTTAACGACCATAAAAATGCTCTCTGATGACATCCTTTCAATGTGAGGAGGGCCACCCCTCGCTACCGCCAGTAGGCTTGCAGTCCGTGGACGTCAATGTTAGCCCATGCTGTACTGTTACGTTCTTGTTAAAGATAAATGCAACATTTCAAAACCAAAAAAATGGCCTTGCCTTATAGGAGAAGGAGCCCTCGCTCACGGGGTCAGCACTGCTGGTGGGGGGCAGCTGTTGCAGCTGCAGGCCTGGGCCGGGCGCTCCGTCCATGGCAGCCTAGTGGCACATCCCGCTGGCCTGGCTTGGCGGCTGGGCTGCGTTAAGCAGGACCGGAACTGGAAGCCATTTTGTCTCGCAGTGTTCACCGCCTTCCGCCAGCCATGGTTTTCTCGGCCGACGGGGAACTTCAAGGCTCTTTTGGCTGTTTTATGGCCTTTTCCGCATCTTCACTCTGAAGTGCCAAATTGTTCTCTTCCAAACTACTGGGGTGTCATTTCTGGTTCTTTGGTGCTGTGGGGCGGTGGAGATGAACATTAAAAATTATGTACAATGAAGCATTGTGATCAGCTTCCTTGTCTATTATCCTAATATTGTTAGGACAAAACTCTAATTACCATGAGAAGTGAGGCTATTTAAAATATTATAACATATCCTTGGCCCCTTTAATAAAGATAAGGCGCATCTACCTTTAAGCCTTCTGCCTGGCCATACAAATACTCTTTCCTTCCACATAGCCTATTTTGAATCCTACCTTTTCCACAGACTCCTCTACATAGGAAGTAGAATACTTGCAGTGTCTGCTTTTCCAGGCCTAAAAAATAAGTAAAACCAAAACCAAAAAACCCACTGAGACAAAAATGGGAACCATTTGGTTTCTAGCTCAGAAGCAAAGTTATCTCCATGGAAGACGGCCTGCTAGTGAGATAGAAGACCCGTGTGTCTAGATCATGTGTCTCTGGGGGGACTCAGCTCTCTCAACTGCGAAGTGGGGAGAATAATGCGGCCTCAAGTAAAACCAGCAATGACCGCAGCTCCTGTTAACGTCATGGGACGGATATTTTCAGCCTCTCTTGACTCTCTCTCCCAAACAGAGAAGAGAAAGGGCACCGCTTCTTTTCTGGGAGGCGCAGGTGAGACACCACAGTGCTAAGGGCTTCTTCAGGGTCTTCTTATTTTAAAAATAATAATCATCACTTGAATTCGACTGAAAGGATTATATTTATTTTAATATAAACATGTTGTAAATTCCACTTGCTTTTTCAGGTGCTACCTGTTTTATCTTAGCCAAGTCATTTAACTTTTCAGTCATTTTCCTTTGCTGTACAATATGAACAGAAATATTCCTACCCCACAAGGTAGTTGTGAGAAATAATTGTTCTTTGTTTGATGAGACAAGGCATGTAAAATGCTTGTACAGTGAATGGTCAATGAATGTCAGCTATTATTAGTATTAATTTTATTCTCTGCCAGCTAATTATTTAATTTACTTATGAATATTCCTTTTCTTTCATGCATTCATACAACAAATCTGTATTGAGGGCTTACTATGTGCCAGACAGACACCAGTTTCTGTCATGCCTCAAGGCTTCTGAAATTTCCCTGTAGCTTTCTGTTCCTTCTGTTATCCAGCTCTAGGCCCAAGAATTCTGGTTCTCGGGTGAACAGCACAGTCATCTGTCACAGGACTAAGACTGTCTAGCAGCTAGGAGACACCAGACATAGGGTTTAGCACACAAATGTATAATATATATACACACATATATAAAACATGTATATATATTCCACTCATCAGACTACTTTATAATTCACATTCCATAATATACCTTCCCACACTATAAAATCCATGAGTTTGTTGTGAAAAGCATGATCATTCTTCACTATACTCATGTATATGAGAAATGCGTTATTGTGTTAAACTTACATACCCCTGTTTTAACATTTTTAATATAATAGTCTGGGCCCTCCCTGGTGGCAAAACAGGTTAAAGTGCAGCACTGTGAAGCTATCACAGCCGCTTCAGCTTGAACTTGATCCTTGGCCAGGGAGCTGACCCACATGGCATGGCAGACCTCTCCTGTCTCGCCTGCTGCTCTCCTCAGCAGTGTATTTCAGTGGATCTGCTTGTTCTGCTCCCCACTCTGTCTCTCGTGAATCCTCTCACCGCCCCTGTACCTCGGGCCTGTACCCCAGTTCTGTATACATCAATAAATAAATCTTATTTAAAAATAGCCTTATATATGAAGTGAATCAGTCCTCACTCTGCTCTGAGACTTGGAGCAGAGCAGAAACCCTTGGAGACTTTCAACCTAGAGCACAAACTCTATGAAGGTGCTTGCCAAGTCCTCTGTTCAGTTGCCCCTACACAAGATCTAGCCCAAAGCCTGGCATAGTGGCCTTCATACATACCTACCACTGGCTGACATCTGGCCTGTTAAGTACCTGGTGCACTGTGGTTGCTTCACAGTCAAGAACAGAATGGCTTGCACAGGCCTCATCAACCGCAACTCCTGAGATTCAACAGCTCTCCCCAGCCCCACCCACAGGATGTCAGAGAAAGCAAACAGGCCTTGGGGACATGCCAAGGGGACGATGGGAATCCTGACCTCCTAACCTCATTTAAACTGGCATGTTCATTGAAGTGGGTTCTGTTTGTTTTTGTTATGGTAGTGTTTTGCTGTCATTTCATGAACTTTTAAAAAGCAGTTTCCTCTCAGCTACAGGAACCCCCAGGCCTCTGATGCATGGCCTGCAAAGATAGAAGGCTCTCCCTTAGCCGGATGGACATTTGCCCGGAAAGACTTGGGGAAACTCTTTGCAAGTTGCCCTCCCTTATAAGGCACACAGTTTTGGCCTGGTGACTCTCTCCAGTGCTTTTTCATGACTAACATATGCCCAAGAGGCAAGCAGCCAACTATGCACCATCAGCTGCCCCACAGACCACAGCGTCACTGACTCAAGGGAAGATAATTCATGAGGTGCTTGCTTACTTCCACTCTGCCCTCATCCCTTATCTCAATGAATTATTTTACCAACCCACAGAGCAGGTTTTACACTCGAGAGAACCACAGCACTGTTGAAATTAAGGCCAGTATTAGAATTTAGCTCTCATTTAAAAAAACAAACGAACAAACACGCACCCCCTTTTCCACCACCTGAAGATTCAGCATCTGGCTGGTGAAAGCCAGTTATGGGCTAAGTGCTTTTGCTTTCCTAGGCTCTGGGACACGGAAGAGCTAGGTATACGCTTCAGTTGCCTCCCATTGAGCTGGAAACTACAACTTCCAGCAGCCAGCATATGTGAAGGGTGCCTCTCCGCCCCAACCCACCTGCTAACTCCACCATCTGCTATTGCCTGGAAGCCCCGGAGGAGGAAAGACATACATCATGGCAAACTTAACTCCATTTCACTTCCTGATTTGGTAAAGGTTGGCATCACCTTCCTGAGGCAAACCCATGCCCGCTCTCTTCTCACCCTCGTGCAAAAATGCAAGAAAACATTCCGAGGCAGCGAGACCCCAAACGACAAGGCTGGTGACAGCACGGTGGAAAAGGACATTTTCACCGGGGGCCGGCAGCTGACTCCAAATACATTCGCTTTTCAAGAATTCAAGTCCTTCACCCCCAGCGCCATCTAAATTACTACTCACCGGCAGCGTTTCTTCCAAGGCCCACCTCTCAGAGGTTTTTGAGAAATGAACTGGGCTCCACCGACAGCCGGGAGGCACAGCCTCCTGTAATTCCTGCCCTACTCAGACCTGAGTGCTGCAGTGTTTTGCTTTCAAACATCGCGGCATGATTGGTCGGTCCTTCTGCCAATCAGAAGCTGGCGAGGATTTGGAGCGAGAGAGTGGCTGCAAGAAGGGGGTGGGCGGGACATCCCCAGGCCTGTAGGGTGCGCAGCAAAGCTTGCTTGATGCGCAGAGGGAGAAACCCCGGAGCCGCCGCCCCGCCAGAGAGCTTCGCGTGCACCTGAGGGAGTCCCCTCTAGCAGCCACAGGAAGGACGTTGGGCAAACCCCACTTCCCTTCGGCTGTCCTGTAGAGGGCAGGTGCCTGCTCACCTCCATCTGTCCGACAGATAGGCGGCCTGCCACAGGGTCTCCTCTTTCTTATCCTCAGAGCACCCCCACCCTGGACTTGGCGTCTGCTGTTCCCCCACCCCAGCCTCTCACGATATATTCAAATCCTACACCTCCTTCTAACCCGTACCTCCAAAAGCCGTCCTGGCCTGCTACGGCCTCGGTGACACCTGTTGACCGCCCTGGTTACCAGACGTCCCAGCAAGCTTCAGGTGCCCCGGTGCGCCGAGCGCGGGACGAAAGTCTCCCCAGTGCACGACAGCAATCGTGCACACGTGTGCGGAGCCTGTGTCTTTCCAGTTACACGCAGATCATTCCAGATCCTCAGGACACCCTGCGTTGTCAACCCCGGCAGACACAGGCGCGCATGTCCATTTCACGCACCAGCGACGGCACCCGCAGAGACTGAGACCAAGACCAAGAAAAGAGCCCGCGAGGGCTCAGACCCCGCGGCTGAGACAGCTCAGCTCGAGCTGGGCACATGGGAGGACCTGCCCAAAGGACTGCGTGGCTGGCGGCTGGCGCAAGGCTTGTCTGGGGTGTGGGTGACAGGAGGTGCGACCAGACGGACCGGCCAGCTTATAATAAGGGGTTTGGATTTTATCCTAAGTTGGAAGCGGAGGCGTTGGAGGGTTCTAAGCAGCAGAGTGACTAGTCACAGCACTGCTCCGAAGCTTGAAAAGAGGGCTCATCTTACTGGGGTGTCCCCTACGCCCCCACCATTCCCCCCCCCCTTTTTTTTTTCTTTTGCTGTTCTCTTAGATGAGTGTTCTCTTAGGTTTATCCCTTGAAGTTGGATTTCTGGCGATCAAAATTCTAAGGTCTATTGTAAGATTTTTGAGGGCTGACTTGTATAATCCCCTGTTAAGTTTTCTCACCAGTCCTGACACAGTTAACCTGAATCCTACTATTCTGGCAGTTTCCCGGTGGTTTTTGAAAGCCTCTAGACGATTGGCTAACATCTTTTCACGCTAAAGAAACAGAGGACACCATTGGCTGGAAATACTCAGCCGAACAGAAGGTAGATTCTAGACTGTTAGGTCTTGTGGTCGCTATAGCGACGGGGAGACCGGGAGGACCCGATTCAGCCCAGGGAGACCCCACGAGGTAGGAGTCAGTGGCGCTGGGAAAGTGGAGGAGGGCCGTGCTAATCCGGTGGGACACCCACTGAGACACCCCCCCAGCCCCCACCCCTGGCCTGCCCGGAGCTTGGGGAAGGCTCCCTCCACCCTGCCCCTCCCTGGAGGTGTGTCCTCAGTGGCAGCTCTGAGGAGGGATGGCCCGCGTGCCTTCTCTTGGAGCTCCGCGGAGGGGCGGCAGGAGGCTTCCCGCCTAGGCCTCTGGGAGTGTGC